ATCTAAACTATAGCAAGAAAAGACAATTCTCAAGAATTTCCTTACAGAAGTCCTGAGACGAGACAGGCACCAAAAGTAGTCTTGTGAGCTCTACCTCACACCCCCTCGATGACACCTCAACTCTGTGGAGACCAGTAAGAGGATTTTCCTAATCTTTCTAGTTGTGCTGGACAGCTTCAGTTGTCAACTTGGCACAGCTGGGAAGAGGGACCCTCACCTGGGAAATATTCTCTATTGGTTTGGCCTGTGGCCATGTCTGTGAGGCATTTTCTTGATTGTTGAGTGATGTGGGAGGGCCCAGCCCACCACGGGTGTTGCCACCCCTGGGCAGGTGGGCCTATGTTGTATAAGAAAGCAGGCTGAGCGCAGGCCAGGGAAGCATACCAGTAAATAGTGTTCCTCCATGGTCTCTGCCTCAGTTCCTGCCTCCAGGTTCCTGCCTGGAGTTTCTGCCCTGGCTTCCCTCAATGATGAACTGTGATCTGGACTTGTAAGTCAAATAAACCCTTTCCTCCCCAAGTTGTTTTTGGTCAGTGTTGTATCACAGCAATAGAGATGTTAACTAGGGTACTACACATTACAGATGCAGCTGTTTTAAGGATCAGCATTTGTAAACACTTGGTTTTCAAACTTCCCAGTTAACAGATATAAGGAAATAATCAATAGACTGTTCATATGCAATAATGCATAATTGTTGAGCAGGGTTTTTTTTTTAATGCAACTGAAGAAATGAGCTTGAAAAATAAGCAGTGTTTGTTTACTGTTTTGAGAGGACGTTCTGGAGACCTGTGCACACCACCCTCAGTGCCTCTGGAAACATTTTATCTCCATCTGCTGGGTAGACCCCTAAAAGCACATTTTCCTACAGGCTGAGGCACATTTCCTATAGGCTGAGGCATCTTAGCTAAGGATCCCCTGACTTGACAGCCAGGGTCCCCAGCAAATCAGTTTGTAAGCTTCCATGTCTTCAGCTACCTCAGAGAGGGTCAAGACTGTAAGCAAGGGTACGCTTTACTTTTAAGTTGCTATGTTACTGATTACTCTGTTAATGACTTGCTAAATACAAAGAATAGAACATCCATTTGAAAACCAGCATTTTCTGCAAGATATTTTGAGGTGGAAATTGTGTTTGGGATCTCAGCTTCAAAACTGTAGGTGTCTAAAGAACTCCAGAATATAACTTTTGGCTGTGAACACAATGGGAACGATAAAACCTAACCCAAGTTAATTTTCATGAACAATGTAAAAAGATATTTGGGGATGAGAAAGAGAAGAGCTTTACCATCTTTGAGCAGTGAGGGCTTTGGAGAACGGGATCATCCCTCCATCCTTCCTTGGGATGAGCTGCCCCTGCTTTAGGAAAACCCTAAAAGTCTACTCCCAGCTTCCTGGGCAGATAAGATGTGGAGAGGCCCATCTGAGAAGCCCTGGGTACCAGAAGGACAGAGCAGGAACTTAGACTCTTGCAGCTCCAGACTTATGGGAGAATGTTAAAAATCATTCTGTGTCGTTGAGACAGTTGGAATGGGCTGAATGAGAATCAGTAGACCAGAGAGCTTTACCAAAAAGAAAAATCGCACTCCTGGCCAAAATTACACACATCACAAGAGCCAGATTTTACAGTCAGAGCTCCAGCAATGGAGACAGAAGGGAGAGAAAGAGCCATGTCTCAAGAGCAGATGAGATCCTTGTCAGTAGATGTCAGCAGAGGACAGAACTAGGTGGAGGACTCCTGGTCCTCTGCCTCTAGTACCTGAGGCAGACCAGAATCCCTGTATCTTTCATGCCCTTTCCAACCTTAGGGAAAAATTCAAAGTCAGCGAGGCGACTCACAGTCATAACATTGCAAGTGATTCTGTTCTATGAAGTCAAAGTTCTACAAAGACATTCAGAATTTTAAATCTGCCTCCAGCCTAACTGTCCAATTTCATCCCTATGACTTCCGTATGGGAACATTCTAGTCAGCCAATCCCTTCATGACACACAAACCTGGTTGTGTTTACTTTGCATATTTGCTGATAACAGCTCTCCTGAGTGCTCTCCTGGTATCACTAACTGCTGATGCATTGCCTAATAAGGTCAGTAAGTGCTTCAGTTGCATCAATGGCCTGAAGGATGCTGAGTTAATGGTTGCAAAATAAATGAAAGTCCTCCTAATTATCTTCCTATTTGGAGCTTATCTGACTTTCTAGGAATAGGTAATGTCCCTCTTTTCTCTAAGAAGGAGTTGGGAACCATTTTAATTCCTATAACATTATCATTGTTGGTCATGTAACAATGATAACACATGACAAAGCAACATTTGTAGGCTTCCATTTGCATGTGTAGGGGTGCATAATCAGCCCCCCCCCGCCCCCAGAATGCCTCTCTAAAGAGACAAGATACCTTTGGTGAAGATATGTTTCACAATGGTGGGCAAACAGGAGAAAAATGATGGGGATCATGTGTCTCCTGCGGTTTTTATGGGAAGGTTTACAGTGAAGGGACGTGCACTAAGAAAAGCGAAGGTGGGACATCCAGGGGGCTCCTATGCTGTCTCTGGGTTGCTCACTTGCACGAATGACTTTAGTTCTTGCAGAACTACTGGTAGGTTTGAGTGAATGATAACTGAAAACATAACCCACAAGATTGTTATTGGTAACAATCTAGTGTCATTTATTTCTTAGCATTCGTTAAAACAGACGAGGAAATTTGTATTTTAAAGTTTTGTGTGTCGTTACTGTGTGAGGTGTGAGAACTTCCTCTAGCCTTTTGTGAGTCATCATGGCCTGAGCTACTTTTTTATTCCTTTGAATTCAAAGGCATAAAATAGACGACTACTTTTGGAAGCAAATCAGGCTTTCCACTACACCGCACATGATTTTCAGAATCATATTCTGAGGGGATCAGTGGCCAAAAGAGATATCAATTTCTATATAAGGCAGAAATGAAAATAGAAAAGATTGGCATTTGTCAAGAAATATTTACCTTTCATATACTAAACTTATGCAAACTTACACATTTTATACTTCATATTTCTACCTCAGACATAATAATGCAGTCTTTCAACTATTTCACCCAAATCATATTTTCAGCTCAGCATTTTTGCTTTTGTTTTAAAGTGTTCATCAGAATCGCTCTTAGTTCTCCCCATTCCCACCCTCATCAAGAGGAGCATTACCACCTCTCTGATAGAATGACCTTGAATTTCCTCTTCAGCACAGATTTCCTTATTAAAACATCTGAACGTTAGGATCAAGGAACGCATTCCAAATAAACACTCTCTTACTAATTTATCTTGACTATCATCCAAGCTTGGAGCAATGAATAGTGAATTGTTTTTCCCATGTAAACCAGAAGAGGAACTTTGCGTAATTTGAAAAGATAGAACTCGTTTTCTACATACTAGTTTTTGTACTAGAAACTACTTTCCTTTGCAATAATTTATATAGCTATTTATTTTGCAAAGATAAATTTACTTTAGATGCACCCTAGCTATTTTTCACCATGTATTTGATATAAATGAGGAAAGTAAATAACATTTTCACAAATACATCATTAGACTACCTACCCAAAATCAAACGTTTATTGTCTTTTGATATTTACCTAAAACAATCCATCTCCAAAGCCACTCCCTACAATATACAGGCATACTTCATTTTTTTCACTAATTTCACTCAATAATTTCATTAACATATTCATCAATAAACCTCTTAAAGCTTGAAGCAAACTCATTCATTCATTTTTTTTTAATATTTTATTATTTTTATTTTATGTGTATGAGTGTTATGCCTGCATGTAGGTAGGTGCACTCATGTCGTACAACACCCATGAAGGACAGAAGAGGCTGTTGGATCCCCTGGAACTGGAGTTATAGACAGTTGTTAGCTGCCATATGGGTGCTAGGATTCGAACCTGGTCTTCTGCAAGAACAGTGTTCTTAACTGCTGAGCCATCTCTCCAACCCTCATTCATTTTTTAAATGAATGAATGAATTTCCTTCATTTAAATTTCTGTGATGGCAGACAGGTACACCAGACTATTGGGGTCAGGTTGTCTTTACTGCTTACTTTTTGCCAGAACGTTTCCAGAGCCTCCCTGCAATTGGTAGACAGTCTCGTAGAGTTGCTGGAGATGATTAAAAGCCTACCTGGACATAAATAATAGAGCTGTAGGTCTCTTCATAAACTCCGTTTTTTCCTTTCAAGTTTCCACCTGGATTTAACTTATTCCCTTTTCTTTACAATTCCTCTGAACCACAGAGACATGTCAGCTTTATCTCACATACCAGCCCTTCTCTCTGGAGCCCCAGTCTAGAGTGACTGGTGGCTTTGACCTCAGCACCTTCCTGCTCTTAGCATAGAGGAACGCTAGACCTTTAGTTGTGAGTGAACTCGGCCAAAACACACTTTGGTGTTTAGAATATTATGTGTTATTCTTTGGTTAAGAATATTATGTGTTACCTCCACTTAATCTTTTCTAGTACCATACTTTCTTTTTTTTTAATTCCACATTTTATCAGTGTCATCACAATATAGATTCATTAAAGCACAGATTTGTTATTTAGGTTCACTTTGGAAAATTAAACAGAACAACAATTGACATAAACATAAATTACAAACCCCTCTTGGTTTTATGAAATAAAATACATAGTCCATCACTTTCAGACAAATAAAATATAATTTTCCAGCAAAATCCTCTTTATTACATTCCATGCATCAATTACTTCTACTTCATATTTGGTTCTTTTTAACTTTCATTTAAAAATTCTCATTATTTTCTACTAGATTTTGTTAACACCAGCAAATCTCTATGTATTTGTACTCTATATACTTTAGTGACTTTGTGTTGACACCAACAACATTATATATGAGCATATTTCTTATAATCAATCTACGAAAACTATTATCAGTCTACAGTAAGCAAAATGTCTCAGAGATTTCCAATGTTGTAATAAATTACATAGAGAATTTATCTGCATCTTCATTTCAATTAAAGGCAGTTAAAGAAAACTAGCTTACCCCAAAAGTTTTCTGGCCACGGACTCCCCAAGCTTGTTGTGTTATTAGCCATAATAACCACAAGAAAGAGAAGAAGCCAGTGTGTCCAAAAGAAACAGTTTGATTCTCTGCCTTTGTGGTCCCGCAAGAGAAAAATAATTTTCACACAGCCCCTCATACGCTTGTGTTTGCATAAAAGGAAATAAGTGTATCACATTTCCTGCTTTTATACTCAAATTAGCAACTGTTTTTCTTATCTTGGAATTCCACATGGTTCCCCAGACACAAAACAATTTCCTCCTCATCATTTCCTCCACTGAGTTGCTAAGTACCCTCCTCTCAGTCACATCCAAAGCTGTCTGGGGACAAGAGGCTTTTTCTTGGTACATCCCAATCCTCTATTTACATGCAAAGGAAAACAGCAAGATTCCTGTTACAGTGCTTAGGCTACCATGGGTGTACTATAGAGAATTAGTCTGCTTTCCAGCATTGAAAACTGTTTATATAATGGGGCGGAGGGCTATTCAGAATCCATATTCAATTACAAGTTTTACCCAATATCCTTTGTGTATAAATCTCAGTCATTCAATTCCTAACATCTCTCTTCCTCTATTTGGTATATTGATTTTGAAAATGTATTTCATTCATTTCCTGCATATTTAAGTATAAATTTGTAATTTCGTTACCCTGTTAATTGGTGTTCAAATTGGTGTTCTGTGCTGAAGGAATGTATGTAAAAAACAGGTAGGTGAACAGGAATGCAAAACTTTCCATTGTAGCAGAATGTTAGTGCCACAGCCAGAGACACAATGAGCCCAGGAATTTGATTTGTCCAAGAGGTCTGAGAGAGATGAGCTGCTCTCAGAAAGAGTTCCAGGAAACCTTTCAGAGGAGGGCGAGTGAAAATTCCAGCCCTCGTCCTTCCTACCTTTATGAAAACAGTGTGTGGATCCTCTGAACGTGTGAAAAAAGAGATGCTGTCAGGTACACACATTAAAATGCATTCAGTGATGTTTTCTTAGTGGGTGAAAACCTGTAGCGTGCATTCCTGCAGGAACCCTAAACACTAGGATAGATCAGTTGAAGCAGCCACCAACTTTGTAATGCCCGTGATGCATTCCTAAGAAGTTCCATCTTTCCAGTCCCCTGTATGTATTTTTTAATGTGTTTTATATTATTAAAGGCTGCTTCATTTCAGTCCATGCTAATCTCCAGCATGTCTGGCTTCATAAAGAGCTATTCAGACTGGTTTGGGAGTGGAAGGGAGGCCTTTGGCTCTCTCTGCTGGAAGGAGCCCGTTCTGTTGTAGGGTTGGGATAGGCAGAGGCTTCCTGTCATTGTTCTGTTTCGCTATCCAGACTTTCTACCGATGCCTTTTCACTTCTGCAGATGGTCAGATCCCTGGAGGAAACTTGGTTTCTGTTCATCTGTGAGCTAGGAATTCACCTTTCTCATATTGGAAGCTTGCCCATAGCCTTAGCTCTTATCTGTGCATATCGTTTGCTTGGTAAGGATCAGTACTTTTCCCTGGCACGGATCCCTACGAGTGAATGAGTGTGTCTGTGTGATTTTCAGGTCCTATGCACACAGGAAGGTGATTTTTTTTATCTTCACAAAAATGTTAGGTCTGCTTTTCTGTTCAGTCTTTGACCTGAGTGAATCAAAGGTAGGTTTGGACTACTGTTTTGTTGTTAGGTTTTCCAGGACTCACTCACTGCCTCATTCAGACTCCTGGCCAGAAGTCAGTGCCTCTCACAAGCTCTCACAAGCTGTGATCTCTCCCCTGACCTAAGTCATTATTTTCTTCGGGGTCCTGACTACTCTATGGCATTATGCTATATACGTGATCTTGCCTGTTCCGGGGACAAAGATTTCGAGCGATGGCATTTTATTTCTCATAGTTCCAAAGTCTGGAAAGTCAAGTCCAAGGCTTTGGCTGATTTGATGACTGTTAGACAGGCCTGCTTCTCCTTAAGACAGGTGTCTTCTCACTCTCCCCTTACAAGGTAGCAGACGTTAAGACTTGCCATTAGTCTCTCTTTCAAGAGCCCTAATCTCACTCAGCAGCCTTTGCTGACTGGTCTAAGCCCATCTGCCCACAGCACAGGAGTAACTAAATTATTGGAAGGTTAAGATAGTGGGAGGTAGCTTCTCCTCAGACTCTGGCTTCCTGTCATACCATGTAATCTCTTCATGTGCCATGCGTGCACACGAAATCCAAGTGGAAGCCTGTGCTAGGGCCTTCGGTCAGCACAACTGTGAGCTAAAGAAACCTCTTTTTTTACAATGTACTCGGACTTGGGTGTGTTGTACACAGACTTGAGTTTGTAACAGAGATTATTTTACCTCTTTCTTTCTGATTTAGATTCTGATTTAGATCCCCCTTATTTCTTTTTCTTGTCCAATAGTTCTGACTAGAACTTTGAGTATTGTGTTGGCCACAAAGGGAAACCTTACCTTGTTCCAGATCTTACAGGAAACTCAGTTCTTCCCCTATGGATGCTCATGTTTGCTATGGGATTTTTATGTACTGACTTGATTGTGTTGAAGTAGGTAGTTCCTTCCATGTGAATTTTATTCAGAGTTTTATTAGTGGTATTAAACAGTGATACGGATATTGAGTTTTGTTAGTTCTTTTTTTGCATCTGTTGAGGTGATCTTGTGGTTTTAATACCTCTTTCTGCTAAGGTGATATATTACTCTCTTTTCTTTTTCGTATGTTGAACTGTTCTTGCCTCTCAGGAATAAATTTTGAGACTCCTGGTCATTAGCACATAATCCATTTAACTGGCTGTTGAATTTGTTTGCTGGTATTTTATTGAAGATTTTCTACATCTATGTCACCCAAACCGGGACATTCACCTGCTGTTTTCTTTCCTTGTGGTAATTTTGGGTTTGCCAGGAGGGTGATGGCAGGCTCCTAAGTGACTTTGTTGTTTCTTTTGCAGTAGTGATTGAATGGAGGGTCTTACACATGCTAGGCAAGTGCTCTACCACTGGTCTGTATCCACAGAACCATAAAATGAATTTGGAAGAGCTTATTCGTTTTGGGGCAGAATTTCAGAAATATTGATAGTAATTCTTGGAATGTATAAATACAATAAATTAACAGGATGGAAAATTAACACACATAAAAAAAATTTCTATACACAACTAACAATGATCCAAAAAGGAAATTCAGAATACAATCTCATTACCAATATGGATGGAGATGGATATTGTGGCAGCTCAGAATACAGTGCTCCGAGTGGAAGTCCGAGATGCAGTCTCGCCAACAAGTTCTCTTTCCTCCCGTCTTCCTGTCTCTTCTTATCCCTCACTTTCCCCTAAAACAAGCCATAGAAACTAGAATTCTTTCCTAAGGCTGGTCACAGAAGCTAGAAGCTTTCTTTTTTTTAAACACAAATCATAAAGCCTAAAATATTACTGTAATTTCCCAGCCTTTCTCTTATAGAACAAGCCATAAAGAAATTCTCTAATATACCTTGTCTGGAGTAGACTTCCATTTCAGGAGGCTTCTTGCTCCACAGTTAGAAAGAGGAGATGCTGCAGAGAGAGGCCAAAGACTCCAAGTGGACAGGCCTGGCTCAGTTTCCCCACCTGTTCAATTAGCTTAGATTAGGCTTTTCTCTTCCATCCATAATTCTACATTGTCCTCTACACCTCATCCGACCTAAAAAAAAAAAAAAATTTAACCTTGAGTCTTTGGAGTCTTCATTCTTGTTTGGTGCTATATAAATTAATGAACAAATAGAGTTTTATGCTCTTCTCCTGTGAAGCTATCTTTCACAACATTTATGATGGGCAAGAAAGAAATAGTCCTCTTTTAAAGTGGAGTGGAAAGATAAGCAAGATTTGCTTCTTTGCTCTATATTTTAAAATGTTTATGTGACTTGTACTTGTCTTTAAAAAGAACACATTGCTTTGCTCATAAGTTTCAGTTGCCATTTGTTCCCCAAAAGAAGTGTTCTATTTCTCCCTGAGAAAACGGACATTTAACAAAGAGCCTTCCAAGCAAAGCCTGACTGGGCCCATCTCCTTGAATGCCCCAGCATCCTCCACTCAGAGCTCCTCTGACCCAATTACATCCTAAAGGCAAGGTTTTTAATGTCATCATAACGATAATTACATTTCAATGCGGATTTTGAAGGGGAAAATGACCTAGTGAGACCTGATGTGAAGCCCTGCTGCTTCACAAGTTTTCTCTTCCAGTAAGAATATTTTACATT